TTGTTAAGGCATGTTATGTTAGGGTAAAAGGTGGTTGTGCCAAGAGAAAGTGGCCAGTTCAGTGATATGGCCGGCTCGGTGATAATCTATGTTAGAGGAACCTAGAAAAGTAAAGAAGCTTTAGCCTAGTAATTGTAAGTAGACTATATTAATACAGGGCGTCAGCGCAATAGGGCGTGTTATCCTACCCTTCCTTATCTTTGCTAGCAAGTTTCTTATCTCTAACTAGTTTACTAAGGACCTCCTACGTAATTAGGTTATTTAAGTAAGCCTAACAGGCTAGACAAACAATAATCTAGTGCTTGCCTAGCTTAATTACTTTAATACACATGTGAGGCCTGTAGGAGCGTATAGGCTGTTAATTATTAACAGCCACAAGAGCTATTGCTTGATAGATTTCTAGGATTGCTGCAAGGAGAAGAAGATTATTGCCCTCTGTATGCCTCTACACTTGTTACCCCTTGTGCAGCTGCTTAATATTGCCTGTTTCTTGCTATTAAAGAGCGCGTACAGTTGTCAGATTCAAAGGGTTCTTGCTAATTGTTGTGATGAATTGAATTGAACGATTAATTTATGAACAGGTGGCTTTTATCCCCTGCTCTTGTGCGACCAGCTGCACGGTCCATTCCATGCAGTTCTATTCCAGCCAAGCCAGTGTTACGGCCAGCCTTGCTCATGTCTGACAACAGTAATTAGATCTTAGCCTTAGCACGTAATTACATTAACTATATTAGTAAACAGAGCTTCTTACTAGCCTCTAAAATAGCTTTTAAGAAGGCGTTTATAAGAGAGAATGCTTGTATAGGGTTTTAAGGCGCTCGATTGTCTCTATATAATCTACAGGCTGTGTTATTAAAGCTGGATGTGATACTTAACTTAAGTATCCTCTACTAGATTAAACTACACGCTAATTATCTTAGGATCTTCCTGTAGTATCCTCTGTCTATCCTTAGCGTAATTAAAGGCTATTTTAAGCTTATCTAAACGCGTTATAAGCCTGCTAGCCTATAGTTTACTAACAGGCTCTTCACTACGCACACTTAGTATTGTATTAGCTATATCTACCACCTTACATAGCTAGGGCGCAAATCCTCGCGAATTAAGGTTAAGTATATACTAGACAATTGTCTGCTCCTCTAGTATAGTAAGTTTCTAGCAATTAGCGTGTATGTCTAGTTAAAACGTAATATTGCAAAGGTAATTAGAGACCTACTAATAAGGTACGTTTAATACTCTAGCAGCACTGTAGATACTGCGAAATTAGCTAGCATAGAAGGCCTAGATAGCAGGGATAACTCTACCTTCTCTAGTAGTATTCTAAAGTTGTTGTTGTTAAGGCATGTTATGTTAGGGTAAAAGGTGGTCGTGCTAAGAGAAAGTGGCTGGTTTGGTGATATGGCTGGCTCAGTGATAATCTACGTTATAAGTAACTCCCTCTAATAATTACTAAGTATAGTATAAGAAGGGTTCTTAAACCTTATAAAAGGGGCTAAAGAGATACTGTATAAAAATATCCTTATTAAGGCCTACATGTAAGAGCTTAAAGAGTAATTAGTACTAATAACTAAGAGAAAATTGCGTAAGAGAAAGCAGATTTAGCATAGTAGCACACTTAAGTATGGCCTAGCAGCATCGCAGGTAGCTGCTAAGGCGTGTGTAGCAGCTTAGCTATCTAAGAAGACTTAGGGTAGAGGTAGGCTGGCGGATGGGTAGGGTAGGGTAGGGTATAGGTATAGTCACGTGATTTATGGGTAGGAACTAGGTAGGGTACATGAGGTACCCTACCCAAACCGTTTGGATAGGGTAGCACGTGACTCGGTATAGGTATAGGTAGGGTAGCACGTGACTAGGTATAGGTATAGGTAGGGTAGCTAGGTAGGGTCTAGGAATGGGTAGTTATTAGCAAAATCTAGGTTACTACTCTAGACTTTGTACTATTGTATACTTTAGAGCATAAGTATGTGATAA